TGTTCTTTTCATGTGACCAAGATACTGTGTCATCTGTTAAATATGGCTCACCTCTTTCAGGTGGCTAGGGTTTAGCATTTAGGCAAAACAAGCAGTTAATGTCTGAATTAAAAGAAAACCCTGGAATTCTGGGACCAGGCATGCCCAGTAGTGTGTTATCTTGTGGTACCTGAAGAATCTACTGAGCACACAGGGCAGCTGGGGATACCTGCAGATGTGGGGTCTCAGGCTCCAGCCATCTGAGCCAGGGCCTTCTGGAAGGTGTCTGCCCTTATACAAAATGGGCTTCTGATAACTATTTACACAACAAAGGAATGAATGAATTTTTCTGGAATGAAACAGGATTCACTTGTACAGAGCATAGTTCCCTTTTAGGTCAGCGATGCCAAGTCCTGTTGAAAGTGTTCCTCTGAAACCTCAGGCCAGGAAAGTTCCCTGTGCCTCCAAACTGCGTGGAGACACTTCCCATCCCAGCAAGCAGCAGTATTATCCGCACACTCATCACCTTGTAGTAGGAATATTTTTATTAAAGAAAAAAAAGCTGTGTGTATGAATAGAAAGCGATGCTATCATGTGACAGGCTTTCTCCTGCCACCCACTAATTTGACATTAGATCGGATCATGTGCTTGTTTCAAGCCCAGAGGACAAGTTACTGAGTCAGATTTTTTTTTTAATCTTTGGGGAACAAACTCAGAAATGGAACAGAGGGAATAATAACAAATGCAGATTAAATATGAGGCAGGGTCCAGGCTTTTACTATTACTATTTTTAATTTACCAGATAATCAAAACATAAAACACAGGCATAATTTATCAGTTTCTTCTATTGTTCCTTGAACTGGCAAGGGGCGGGGGTGTTGTTGGAATAATTCAATTCATGTGGGAATCCATGTTTACCATCGAAAAGCACTAAGGAAAGGCACACCATTTTCAAACTGGAAAAAATAAATAATAATGCGTGTTGCCACTAAAACAGTGGTACCTTGCCTTTTGAGTAGAACAACCTGCGTTTCAGAGGACTGTTTCCTTCCACATGTAAATATTTATTTGCTGGAAGCTGAAAGCACTAAAGCATCTTGTGTTTAGAGTTTCAGAAGCAAATTGCTGCTGCGCACACGTCATCTTGAGTCACTGGATTCCGCTGTGTCCTCTGCCTCTACGTCACGACTTCATTAATCTTTTCTTAAAAAAAAACAAACAAACAAACAAACCAGTAGAGCCTTTCATTTATTGCTTCTAGAAAGCCAGGTGCATTGCAGCGGATCCTTTCAGGAGAACCATTGTTTCATGTGAATATTTATTGTTTAATTATTGAGCACCTACAGTGTGCCTGGCGCTGGCAGGAGGGAGACCCCTCCAGTCGGTTGCAGGGGGTTGGGGGGGAGGGTCGTCCTTGTGGCCAGGGGATCCAGGCGTCCACTCTCATGCACAAGTCCTGGGCTCCACCCACGTTTTCGGAGCCACCTTGAACTGAGAGGGTGTCGGTTTTTCCATGACACACAGAGGCTTACATTTTTCCGTGATTTAAAAATCCCTTCTGTGAGTCCCAACTGCTACCTCGCCAGCCAGGAGGAGAAAGTTCCCCAGGATTTTCGATTGCTGAAGTTCTGGGCCAACAGCATGTGCACAGAGGAGGGGGCGGGGTGCGAGGAAGGGGTGCGGGGAAGGCTCCCGAAGTGCCTGTTTTGCATCAGTTTACAAATGAGCTTGGGTTGCGTTTAGTCGTTGCGTTTTTAAAAGTGAAATTCTGGCGTTTTGCATTGAATCTCGACTAAAACTCTTTGGTATGTCGACTTAAAAGGTCTCCAAACTGCCAAGATCTTGCAGCTTGGAAAGGTTAAATGAGTCGACTTTCTAAAGCTTTTGTCAGCACAAGCGCAGGATTCGCTGCCCGGCTGAAAGAAGGAAGAGACCTGAGTTCTTGCAAATCCTCTGCTCCCGTCTTCCTCCTGCGAGGCTGGGAGAGAAATCTACGGCTGCAGGGCTGCGTACACTTCCACGGAAGCGTGTCATCTCATGCATCGGAGGCTGCACGACCTCTGTTGGTGCGGCCGCAGCCTTCCAAGAAATTTTAGCAAGATCCGAAAAGGAGCACTGCAAACAGGAGCCCAGGCCTGCCGGCAGGGGGCG